ACAGACGTAGGAACATAAAGTATTTTCAAAAGAGTATAAAGGCACGATTGAATTCAAAATGTAAACGAGGGTACGTACCAGGTAAATAAAGATTAGAGCCCAAACGTTATGATTCACTAAATGGTGGTTCAGGATACAATAGTTGAGCGATTTAGAAGATAATACTATTTAGAGAATACAAGATGTTAAAGAGATAAACAAAAGAGGGATAACCACATAAATCATGCATGTAGAAAATAATGATGATCTAAGGTTAATATTCCTTGTTTCCATTTGTTCAAAAAAGTAAGTATTACTAAAGGATCTTCAAAACTTTGATTGTATTTCTAAAAGTTAAAGACAACGAATGTCATAACACATTAGAGCTTATCACCAATCTTAGTTCTGATCATAAGCACGGCATGCAGAGCCAGAGAAAGCTTGGAGTTTGTGATAGGAGAAACACTTTTTCCCCATGTGAAGACATTGTCTGTACATTTCCGAGTCAAACTTGGGGATAATCTTAATTACAAAGTTCAAGGGTTTACTAGGGGAAGTGCATGTATTAACTTGAACAAAATAATGCTCTTCTGATCATTTAGAATTACTGATAGCTTGCAGCCAATCATAACCATCATTCTACGAAAATTGAATTTTTATTAGGATCGAGTTGAGGGCGGGGTCACAATAACTAACCAAATCAAGGAGAGTTTCTGATTGCTAGGAGCTTGTACTTTTCTCATGAAGGACAGTATAATTGAGCTGTAATAAACGCATTCATATCTCGTAATTATCTGTAGTGGCTCGGACTTCCAGGCAGTATAAATGAGTAAAACGAACTGTATGTGAATTAGAAAGCAGGAAATCTTTGTGATGTTCTTTTTATGATAGAAGCGGGAGTTACGTGAACTCTATTTTGTACAGCGGTTGTCAATATAGAAACTTGTTATAGATACAAAAAAGGGAGGTATGCGAATATAGGAGAGATGAGAGAGAGAGAGACACACACATAGAGAGAGGGGGCCGAAGAGGGATGGCGAAGAGCATAGAAAAAAAGGAGAGAGAGAGAGGGAGAGAGAGAAAGAGAGAGAGAGAGAGAGAGAGAGAGAGAGAGGATAGCGAAGAGAGAGGACGAAGAGAATAGAAGGAAAAGGAGCGAGAGAGAGAGAGAGAGAGAGAGTGTGGGGAGAGAGAGAAAGGAAGAGAGAGAGGGAGAGAGAGAGAGAATGAATAGAGAGAGAAAAACCGAGATGGATGGAGGGAAGGAGGAAAGGAGGGAAGGAAGAGGGTTGGAGGGAGGGATGTGGAGGGAAGAATAGAGGGAAGGGTGTAAAATACCATTGTTTATAAGGCAGAAATAGTTTGTGAAATAAGAGGCAACTAGGAGCAGAGATATAAACAAAACTGAAGACAGGGAGATTGCTAGCTAGAGAGAGAGAGAGAGAGAGAGAGAGAGAGAGAGAGAGAGAGAGAGAGGTGGAAGGTAAAAGATGTAAAAGAAATGATGGACATATTAATGTGAAGGGGTGATGCTATAGTCGAACAACGACAAGTTTATCATTGTCATGAAAACCCTGTTGAAGCTTAATGGCATCCTATAAACTTGTCGTAACTTGAGCATGTTGAAGGTTGATGTATGGATTGAATTTTTGACATCACGATTCATAGTGATTTCCTGAAATAATTATGATGAACAAGATATCATGCATGTCACCGGAGGCTTTTATGTATACCTTCCTCCGCGTTCTTACACCCCGTTCCCCTCCCCCAACCACCAACCCCCTCCTCCCCATCCTACCACCACCACCACCACCCCTTCCACCCTGGTCCCTGGATGCTCCCCCATTAATGAATTGGAAAGCATAATCTCCATTATGGTCGTCTGCAGTTGACGTCTGCCAGTTATGTAAAAAACGGGGTGAACGATCTTTTTTGGCGCCCGAGCTTATTTTCATGAGTGATCGTATCATCATTATTAATTCTCATTTGCAATTGAAATTTCCGCATCATTCTTTATGCATTGTGAGAGCAGTAGGAGCAGGATCTTTGAGTTATTATTGATGAGATTCATTTCTCATTACCGTAACCGACATCTATAGTAGCATCTCAACTCAGGTTTGTTCCTCTCCTCATGTTTGCATGCCTCTGGAATTTTTGAGCTTTCATTCATTTTCATTCTCTTTCACATCAAAGATGACGCTAGCTTATTAGCAAAATTAAAATCTTTTTTGCGAAACCACTTATTCGTTGTGTTACACAAATGCAAATAATACCCCGTGTGCGTTCTTTACATTCCCCCCGACAATTATTTATTGCCTATATTGTCCTCGAATAGATCTAATTTCATAAAATGTTTTTATGATTGAAAATGTAAGAACCCTTTCTTTCTTCAGAAAATTAGTTTTACTCAGTAAATGCCTCGTCTGTCCCCTAATACCTTCCTAATCATTTTTTCTGCATGTTCTTGTGAACTTAATTTTACATTTATAACACGAGAACGGGATTAGGAACATCATCGAGATGAAAAATAAAAAAAATCAGTAAAATGGTGATCATGTTAGAAGAGTAAAGTAGAGATTGGGAGAGAAGTGAAAATGTAAGCAATCAGAAGTGGGTCTTAATCAATCAGTTTTCATTAGAATAAATGTGACTTTGTACTTTAACCATCCATGCCACTCTTTCATGTCCGTGTCTGACCTCAATTTCTATTGGAACGGACTGGTAGAAAGGAAAGTGGTGAAATCGGCAAACTTTTTGACCAATCAAATCCGAATAGATAGAGACGGATGGGCTAGACCGGTCATAAAGACACCTTATACCAATACTACGTTTTGGTCTGATGGAAACTCGGGTGGATATAGCATTGGCGTCATCATCAATCTAATGAGCCATTGTAGTACAATATCTATTCGCATCTCGATGGGTAGTTTCATCAGTGCTCGTATATATTCCCACCGAGATCCAGGCGACTGATGATGCCGTGTACGGGGGCTTCCGCAGTAGCGCCGATGACTCTCCCAGCCCTAATAGCGAGACAAATTTGGGTAATGAGCTTTTTAGATTAAAAGATACAACTTTGATGACTGACATGAATAGATTGGAGGGAGAGTGTATTATGGATTATGATAGATAGAAGGAGGAGGAAAGGCCCAGATCATGCAGAAGATAGTCAGAGGGAGAGACTGACTGCATGGGCGATACGAGAAAGAAGGAGAGACCGAATGAATTGAGATACAGAGGAAGGCATATACAGATAAAGATGAAATAAACATAAAATATCATCAGAAAGAATGAAATCGAATGAGACAAAGATTAGGAAAATGTTAAGAGAAAGGGGTCGAGAGGGAGGGGCGAGATTACTCATAATATGAGAGAAGTAAGAATGAGATATAGATTAGAGAGAAAACGGTCAAGAGGGAAAAAGAAAGACAAGAGATACTCTGATAAAGAGAGAGAGAGAGAGAGAGAGAGAGAGAGAGAGAGAAAGAGAGAGAGAGAGAAAGAGAGAGAGATGAAGAGAGAGAGAGAGAGAAAGAGAGAGAGAGAGAGAGAAAGAGAGAGAGAGAGAGAAGAGAGAGAGAGAGAGAGAGAGAGAGGGGGGGGGGGGAGAGAAAAGAAAGAAGAGAGGCGAGCTGGATGGTGCGTTTTAAAGATCTTAATGCGGTTACACCAAAAGAAAAGAGAATAATAGACACAAATCTAGAATAGAGTTGTAAGAGAAAGAAAAGGGGCTGATAATGGACTCTTTATATATTATTCATATGTGGAGCCGATGTGGAGCCGGTAATACAATAACTGAAAAAATATGTTTTCATTTGAAATGGTAATGAGTGCAATCTCGCAGCAGTCGGACAATGCAATATGTATTTGTTGATCAGTCGCTCCCTTTTTTTTATTGCAAAGTTGATTGTGTGGCAAGACTCGACAATATAAGGCTTATTTATTGTTATTAGGATGACATTTCCACGTATTTGTTCATTTTCTTTTCCTTTTCTATTCCGAATGTAACTTTTGTGCGAAGGGGGATAAGCAGCGGTGCCAGTTCCATATCCGGGGCTGGCGCCTGAACACATTTAGGTCCGAGAGCCGGGCTACAAACCAGCAGAAAGAGAATATAACAACAACGAGCCAAACTGATATGCCTGTCCTACGAGCAAGAGAGCTCAGTGAGACGACAAAATGGGTACCGTAGGCTGAGTAGTTTATTGGAACATGATAGAATACACGACTTATTATCAGGGTGGAAATTTATGAGAGTAATTCACAAGGACATGCTATCTCATTTGAGTGGGATTTTGCCGCCAAATTCCTTTGAAGGCATGCCGCCGTTGATATTGACTCGCACTCCTCTCCAAAATAGAAGATTTATCATTTTTCCTCTTCCAATTCTCTTTGTGTTCAGCACATAATCGAAGATACGAGAGAAAGGACACGTAAGGAAGCGTTACAGGAACGTTTAAACGATGAAGGAAGTTAGAAGTAAATTGATCTCAAAGGCGGACGACACTTCAAGATTGAATCTATTTCCCTTGTTCTCAATTGATCTAATCTCTCTCAAACTTCTAGAATCAAAAGACCTCCATACAAGTTAAACAAATTTCCAAACACGGACATGTTTTTTTCATTCTCCACTTTCATCCAAACGTGCAATATATGGCAAGCTCTTTGCTCAACACCGTATGGTACAATGCAATGTATCAAAACAAAACAAAACAAAATGAAACGAAAATGAAAGGAATAAAGAAATGAAAAGGAAGAAAAACAAAACAAAACAAATAAAAGAAATCAACAACACACACACAAAAAAAAAAGATATAAAAGAAACCAATCAAAACAGGTGAGCTTCTTCTGATAGCCCTTACACAACCTCCTCTCCACCTTTCTCTCTCTATCTCTCTCTCTCCCCTCTCCCCCATCACTCTTTCTCTCTCGTCAGTTTACCCTTCCTCTTCCACTACATCACTTCCCCTTCACCATTCTCTACATTCAAACATCTTTTGAACGACACGAAAGGCAGAAGGTTGAGTTTACAAAATATCATTTTAATTCTATTTTATAGCATTATGAACATATTTCTGATAGATTTTGTACACAGCTTCTTCTTTGTATTTACAACCAGTCACAAGAAATTATTACCCAAGCTAATCACTGCTTGTGTTTCAGTGAGAAATTATCATATCTCTATACGTCAGAAGAAAAAAAATGAATACAGCAAATAAGGTGTTTAGGGACACAAACACATTAAAGGATAAAATATATAGTCATGTGAAACGTTATTTCACACATAATGCTTTATAATCAAACTTTTCTGATTGAAAAAAATATCAAGTATAACACATAAGACTAGGAGAGTTTTAATACATGATGTGTTGCTGGCTCTCTGAACTGTTGAAAGATAAGCAAATGAACAGCTCTAGATAAATTAACATAAATGGTGCTATCAATTTTTCTTCAAATGGAGATTATAAAAAATGAGCCCCAAAATGGTATAGAAATTAAAACCATATTGCCTGGGCCGACAATTACATGGAATTTATTTAAAATTAATCCCCTTATTCATAATGTTAGAGTAATGTTGGAGTAACATATAATATGGTTTATAAAAATTATCACAGAAAATCGACATGCATTTCGTCACATCTTTAAAGAATTAACATTGACAACTTCTATGAATATTTTTTTCTCACATGTTAAGACAGAATTCATTTACAACTACCTTTACTTCTATGTAAAGTTATAAGTAATTCCTTTAATAACTGCATCTCTATCACAGAACTCTCAAGAACTATAAACCAGAAATCGAATCAGCTCCTAATTAAGTAGATTGCCCAATGTAGCAAGATGCAAAAACAATCTGCAACACAACATCAGAATGATCTCTCCATGTGATAAATGTAAACTTCATATGTGTGCACCATAGACAATATATTAAGGAGACTTCTAGAATGGGAGTCAGCAAACCCTGACAAACTTACTTTCCCGCAGTCACAGATATTTTGTAAAATGGCAACTTCAATGAGCATTTGAACACCTAATACAATACAGAGAAAATTATCATATTCCGTAATGGCAGAAAAATTCATTTTCTGCTGAAACATAGTAACTTTTAGTTTTAATACCACCCTTTTTATCTTTCTTTTTTAAATAAAATAAATGTGACGGTGAATAATGTAGTGCAATATTCTACTTTGTGCTTTTCCTAGTATTCAAATAGCTAAATTGGGGGGAGTCTTTATCTTTAGAAAACCACAAGACTCCAGTTCCAGGCTTAGTTGTGTAAAATTACAACACACTAGTTACCTTGCTTAACAATGAATACCCACACATGGGGAATATCATTCTTTTACTACAATTGAACTACATTGTACCATATGAACTTGATATGCCTCTGCAGGCTTCTGCTTGCTGTATTTCATTTTGATTGATTCAACTTACCTCTAAAGTTAGTAGATATAGATTAAATCATGTTAATTATAATACATGTTTTCATATATGAAACAATGGACCTATTTGCATCTAGACTGTTTAAATAACTATTGATCAAAGCATACTAAGGTTGTTTCATTCAAAAAGGATATAGACTAGCACACTTAACATGGAGTGATTTCATTTCCATATAGACTATTCATTTTCCCCCTAAAAGGTGATAAAATTTGCTTTGATTTGAGAATAATGTTCATAAGATAGAATTCTGAATCTTCCTTCTGACAGACATAAAATTTGCATTATTAATGTTTAACATCATTGATGAATAAACAAATATCCCAAAACCAATTCTAAAGACAAGGAAATTAAAAAATTGAACATTAATAAATTATTTATGTATACAGTCAAATGTGTTATTCAATACTGTATCTATTTCTAAATTTGTTTTATTGTTTGTTTTTCCATGCACAGCAGCACCACATATGAAAACAAATGGTGAGGAATCCAACCAAATGCTACAATAAATAAGAACTGCCAAAAATAAATCTTGTACAAAATTCATGTCGGAATAACAGGCAAAGAATGGTAAGTGCAACAACTGGGACTGCAAATTAGTCTTCCTACCTTCCTACCCCATAATTTGTGGTGGTTCTTATACATAACATATTGAACAATCTGAAATCACTTTAAGACAGTTTCTCCATAATTATATTTCAATCACCCAAAACTCAAGATTATCTTTTAAGTGGTTGCCACTCTCCAAAGATTGAAAAATTAGAAATAATGTTTCAGATGTAACATAAAGAGTGGTCCTCATTAGAAGTTATCAGGTAAGTTGAGATAAATGTAATCTGCAACCAAATATGATTCTAGCCCCAACATAGAGTATATCCATAGAAATCTTATAAAGCATCTTGCACAAGAATCATTTGTATCATACAGTATACAGCATGGATAATTAACATATATAAAAGTGATTTTCAGCAAAGATATCAAATTTGCTATCTACAAATTCTAATTTGAATTAGGAAGATCTTTCTTTATACACAATTTGCACATATGTAGAAAAAACACAAACACTACCTGATATACACTAATTAGCTGAAAAGTGCACTGAATTTAATTGCTAGAACCAATGTTGGCTTCCATATAATCAACTAATTTGGCTTTTCTGTGCACATTTCAGTCTGTGATAAAATAAGTTAACAACCTTATTGCAAAATGGTAATAAAATATTAAAATAATCATACACTATGAAACTAAATATTGCCGAATATACATATCATGTATGTACAAACATGCTGGAAATAATCATTCTCCCCATCCCCTTGGAAATAAAAAAAAACATAGGCCATAAATGGATAGTTACATTCAGCAGTGATGATAATCCTCGTCATATACAGATGGGAAAAGTTTTCTTTCCTTTCCAAGATTTTGTCAATTTAGTTGTAAGAGAAGGAACTAACTTCTGCACCAACAAATGAAGTTTCATTAACATCAGAGTCTTACAGGACACTTTTCTTGATGAAATTTGAAATCTGTATCTCAATAGAATGTTCATGAGGGCAGCTATCATGCCACGGATCAATTTTCTAATCCCCTCAATAGGATACTGTCAGTGTAAATCACACTTTGTAAGATGCGAACTTCTCTAAATCTAAAATTGATCCTGGGTGGTGTTGTTTCACAAAGCCTTTTTTCAATGACAAAAACCAGAGAGAAATCTGCTGATAACCAATCAGAAGCAGGGATGTTAGTAATTTGTCACTGATGACAAGTTTTGTGAAACACCCCCCAGGACTGTAATTCAAGGATTGCGTAGGAAGTTATCCAACATAAGCTTTGGCAACAATGCTCTGACAGCATTCGTTCTGAGCTTCAATTTTGAAGGTTTGGTCTAAAGCTAGCTGTGTTTGGGCTTTAGGTTCGATTTACAATTACTGGTATGGTTATACTGCGAGTCTAGGGTAGATTGTGAAATTGGATAAGTTGAGCATATATTGAACTGTCTGAGCATGGGGGAAAGATGCACGTTTATATTAGAGGGTCTTTGGGAATTACCTACTCCTCAGAAAAAGGAGTTACAGTCGCTTGTCCAATGGAACTATCCTGCAGGCATGCATACTTTGTGTCCTTAAAACACGTCAGCAGGGGGTTCTTACAGGCTATGATGTCTTGTATCACTCCTGGAGAAGGGTTCTTAACAAACAATCCAGATCACCACACAGCACACGTTCTGTCGAAGCTGTTATGACTTGTAGCATCTACGGTGATCTGGAGTCCAATAAACCTTGCATAGCGATGGACCAAGTACCACCACAAGAGTTCTATAACGTCTCTCAGGCTAGGATATGTCATGTAGCATTAAGAGAGAAGAGTTCTATGCAATCCAGATCAACACACAGCACAAGTTCTGTCGAAGCTGTCATGTATTGTAGCATCTACCCGATCTGGAGTTTGCACAGCCATGGACCGAGTACCACCACAAGAGTTCTATATTAAACATCTCTTAGGCTAGGGTGTGTCATGTAGCATTAAGAGAGAAGAGTTCTACACGGTCTGGATCCCAGTACATGTTTGAGGAGTGATAGACTAGGGACCACACGTAGGGGATGAAGAACTCCTCTGGTTGGTCCTCCTCTACGTATCGAAACTTCAGCTCAGGAAATTTCTGGAGAAAAAAACAAAGAAAAGGGGAGAATAGATCATCATCATTATTATAATTCCGTATTTTGCATCACATGTACCTGGAAGGCACAAAGCAAACTGAATCACTGTAACCTATGATTCTCTCTTGTTGGTATAACTGATTGGGAGTGTGCAGGTGGACCACTACTCTTATTCAAAGTGTGCAGTGGGTTCTTAACATGCAAAGGTGGTGACCCTCCTATCCAAGGGATGGAGTGTTTTCCACTGCAACATAGCCTGTGTCTAGGACACAGGATGCAAACTTCAGTCATTCACCTGGATTGGATTTGAACCCACGTTATATGGTTCAGTTGGCAGATGCTTTACCGACTGAGCCAACTCCCCTCCTCAACACTTAATATTCAAATGACTAACTAAGATCTTATCCGATTCAAACACGAAACATCTTAGTAATACTGAATTAGTTGGGGACCCAAGTTCAAGGGTCAGTATGCAATATTCTAGAAAGTTAATTAACAAAACTATCAACTTATTTGATATTTATTCTCACCCATGCATTAAGAATAAAACAAATCTGGATTTATATAGCGTTTTATACGGAATACAATCTCCAAGTGCTTTACAGATAAAATTATTACCCTGGTCATCGGACTCATGTCTTGCAAAAGGACATAAGTGCCGTGTCGAGGATCGAACCCACAACCTTTGCATTTCCAGTCAAATGCGTAAACCTCTCGACTACGCCACCTCTACATAAATGGGTAATCACCAGGTACAGTAATCAGGGATATCAATATTTTTTATTTAGTCAATATTTTGCATGGGACAAACTACTTTTGACTCGCCCATCTCACCCATCTGTAGAGGTGCCGTGGTCGAGTGGATACGTCACCTGACTGTCGATCACAAGATTTGCGGCCCGAGTCCTGCTCAGCACTAATGTCCTTTGGCAAGACATTGATCTACATTTGCCACTCTCCACCCAGGTTTTAAATGGGTACCCGGTAGGATACGAAAGCCAATGTAGTATGCTTAGCAATTTGAGCCTGGTAGCTCTTGCTGGAATGCTCCCCAGGGAGTGGAGAAAGTGCATATATATTGTGTGGAGGCAAGCAAGAATCTGATGACTGGGGTAATAACATATCTGTACAGCACTTAGAAACTCAGACATTGCTGATATATTAAGCGCTATATAAGCAGAAATACTATTATTAGTAGTATTATCTCCTAGCTTGAGAGACTTACCCTCAACCTATCCCTGGGCCATTGCAGCATGCCTTGTTTGATGATGCCTAAGACTTCATGAACTGACGGTGAGTCATGCTCTTCTTGAGTCTCTTCTAACCTCACAGAGAAGTACGTCAGTACCTGCAAAGAGAAAAGCAGAAATCTTTTTATGACCTTGAGAGGTTTATAAACTTTACTGAGAAAAAGGATCAGAACCCCGAATAAAAACAAGCATGTTGTTTAGACTAAAATTTCATCAATATAAACTGGAAACATGAAGTGGAAGATTCAATTCTTTGTTAAAGCTTGAACCTTCATGAACATATGACGTTATGTTAAAGGTAAGGACCAGTTTTGAAAACGCCACCCACTCAAAAAAGAAAGAAATGGAAGCTCTTATTACCAATCATGTGAAAGAATATGTTTTGACTAATACGTGATGATACAAATTTTGCCAAGAAACCGCCTACTAATTGATATATTTGGTAAATTATTATATCTATTTGGACCTGATAGATATAACCCACGTGTTGTGCACGTATGCGTACTCCCATATACATCTTTCTGTGTACAGTGCTTGTAACTTTACCAAGACTGGGCCAAATTTCTTATCATTTTGATTATTCGAGAACCTTGCAGTACACACCAATACTTATATGCTAGATGATTAACCTTTTCTGATCGTTTCCACAAGGTTTCTTTCACAATGCGATCGCATAACCATAATTGGTCTTTATCTTGAATGTCTTGAACAAAGTTCATTCCACAGTGCATATTTTTATATTTTTTAAAACATTTTTTATAGTATTCTATAAGGGTGTAGTGCTAGAATTCTAGAGTAAACATTGAAAACATGAAATCCATTTTCAAAATCAAAACATGATTTCACATTATTAATTCAATAGAAATTAGTTGAAAATTACACTACGGGTGATAAAATTGTGCAAATAACTACACCTCATCTTAAAGGAGCACAGCTTAACAGGTTAAAATCTGGAAACTGAAAGTTTGTGGGCATGGCAAAGAACAGGCATAAGATAGAAAATCTCTGGACTTTCTACTTTCCTTGTCCCTCCTTCTCTCTTTCTTTCTCTTAAGTATTTAGTCGGTTGCCCGCAAGAAAGCCTTTACTGCCATTGGAATACATTACCCTTACAGCCTTCTCGCGGGCAGCCAATGATTTGCTTTTGAGAGCTTGGTGTGAGTCTAACGTTTTTACAGAAGAGACACTTACCGTGTCAATATTTTGTATGATGTCCTGGAACTTGGGATGTGATTTGAAGCTAGTGAAAAGGTCTTGCTTGTAGAGTAACGTGTAGACTAGATGAGGATTGTGAGGGAGCATGTTGATGAGACATGAATTGATGATTTCTAGCACCATACGAATGACCTCCTCCAACACGCTAAGATCTGATAACTGAAATCACAATAAAAATACAGAACAAAATATAATTACAATCAAAGGTGCTGTTTTCAATTGTTGTAAAATAGAATTCTTTGGCTTACCTTACAAACTTGTTTGATCATGTTTGCTACTCAAATTAATTTACATGTGACTTCAACCTCAAATCCTTGCTACAAAATCACCTCTTGTTTTACACATCAACAAAACAAGGCAAATCATTTGATTTTTTTTAAACAACATAATTGAAGACTAACAGATTACATTTCCTCAGGTTAAAACTAAAGGGCACAAACCTTATTTGTAAAATATCTTTTTTAATGCTGTTTTCCATTAGATTTTATAGGTATAATTTGATTTGTAATTCAGAATGAAAAAAATAAAAATGAGGTGCACTTTTACAAAACAGTGTAGCAATGCTCTTAACTACAAGAGTTCAATCCATGCAAGTACATTTGGTAGATTTCAAAAACTTGTCAACACATCTTTAATTCACATTCACAATAATGTTAACATATCATTGGTAATATCCAATCCAACAAACAATTCCCAAGGTGATGCACCATCATAAGGTTACCTCTACAATTTTGGAGAACATCTAAGCAAAGATAGCATGTACCATTGATTTAAAAACAATGGAAACTGAAACTGATTTATCAAATCATTCAATATTCTAGTCGGATTGAGAAGACAAATAACCTTACCAGATCATCGTGTTCCACCTCAGCATCCTGTGTAAGGTCTCCATTGGGTTCAAGCGCTGATGATGCTCTCAGCTGCTCTACAATCTTATCATGCTTCTTGATCAGTAACTCAAACAAACTACAGAAAGAAAGAAAGAAAGAAACAAAAATAAATATATAAATACTTTTCAATAAAAAAATTCAATCCTTCCTCTCTTAAAAAAAAAAAGAAACCATATTTAGTCCTTCAACCCATTGGATATGATCAGCCTTTGTATAATATGCATTTGCCACAGACCAAGTTATTCAGGAAAACAGCTTCACATTAACTATCATGTTAGGAGGGGGAGGGGGGGGGGGGGGGGGGCTAGGTAAGCACTGAATCCAATGACCGGGGTAATAATATATTTGTAAAGCGCTTAGAGACGTTTGTATTAAGCGCTATATAAAAATTAAATATTATTATTATTATTTTTTAGGGGGGGGGGAGGGACTTCAGAAACGTAGAAATACAAATTCTCCTCTACAAGAATACAGGCAAGGGTAATAAATATGCCTATGCATTCTTCCAACCTTCCAAACCACCACTCTGGGATGCTACAAGACCATATGTGACTCGATAATCTGGACAAACAGAAAATAAATTCTTCTTGTGAAACCTGTATGCAGGAGAGACTACTCACCTGACTATTCTCTGTGTAACATAGGGATGCAGGGAATGGAACTGAGAAGACATGTTGGCAAGAGCTGCTAAGCAGTTTGTATGCAGGTACTTATCCTGTGGGTACAGAACAACATACAAAACGTAACATATCAAAGAGGCTTCCATCCCAGTGGGCTTTATTTAAATAAAAGTTTTAAGCATCTGTGTATGGCACTAGAAAGCAGATCTAGAACTTTCTTGTTCTTTCGTTCTGAAGGATGATAGTTTACTGTAGCATCTAGAATTGGAGTTATTTTAGGACCTAATATCATTTCACAGATTTAGGAATGACCAACAAAGTTACAATACATCAAGTAAAAATTCATAAACTAGACATGTTTCAATAGATATTTCTCTCTCACTCCCTAAAAATAATTGCCAAGCAACTACATTCACATTGAGCTTGATTTCATAGCTTATATATCAAACTGTCCAGAAATCAAAAGTGAGTAAAATTTACGTAAGAAAGCCATAGAAGGGGAAAAGTGAGAATGTAAAAAAAAACATGTTATCATTTACTTCATATTTTCATAAAAATAAAACAAAATTTCATGGCAAAAGTAGTCAATTCTGACTAATTGCTAAATAAAATCAAACAAAGAAGAAAGAAGGAGAAGGTAGATAATACCCACCCTCATTCTTGTCATGTTGTACTGTATGGTCCTAATGACAACCAGAACAATCAGGCCACCAAGTGTGATCTCTGTGATGGTTCTGTCTGTGTACCATGTCACTTGTTTCACCATCTAAGACAAAGAGAAAAGGGTACACATGATGACACAAAAGTGAATATCCTCATCATTATGAATAATGATATTTGAAAAGACTATCCCAGTATTAAAGACAATATTAGTGAATAAAAAAGATAGAAAAGAAGATACTCTCAGTCTTATGAGCATCATATTAACAGAACTGGAGGGCAGATAACCTCACTTAATAAATTTGACCTATCTAACCAATTTCTTCACAACTTAAATGATGTAATAATAGACTAAGACAATGTTGGACGTTTTTTCCTTTTTTTTCTTTCTTGCGTGTGAAAACTGAAAAGCATGGATAAAGTGAAAAACTATTCACAACATCTGGCGTTAAATGAGCATTTGTTCATGTAATTCATATGACTCCTCCCATATCTTCAAGTAGAAGTCTCCCCAAGCCAACAGTTGAGAGGCTTCTGTGTATTTCCTTATTGTTGCCTTGCCTAGGAATGACCTTTATAATATAAACAGGATTACTTGAGACAATTCCTTCTGGACTATTTCCTTCCTGTTTCCTTTAGCAGGATAAATGGAACCAGACCATATCTCATTGCTACCGCTTTCCAGGACATTGGAAGGTCAATGAAAGGTCAATACAGGTTAAAGGTGAAGTGTCTCTTTTGTAGGCTGAAAATATAAACTTGTGTGAATCCTATGGTAAACAAGAGATAATACCAACTAAAAACTCCCCTGAAAAGATTAGAACTGGTAATTGCCTTTATCTGGAATTATATCGACCATTAGGAATTTTCGCAACGCATAGAAAATAGTCTAATTTTCAGACACTTGTACAGTATGGTCTTATGTTTTGTGCTGCGCAAAGATTCAATCAGCTTAATTTTTGTCATGACAAGAAGTGGGTTATTGATGTGAACTAATGCTCATGTACTCTTTACAGCTTATTTTATGTATGTCAGTATTAAAGAAAAAAAGAAGTCAGTCAGTCAGTCAATAGTGTCTGACAGTAAAGTCTGGAAAATAAAAAGGTTTTCTTGCATAATTTGAATACTAGGACACTATTAACGTTTAAATTTCACAGAGAGGACATACGTGACATATTCATAATTCCTGCAAAGTTCTACAGAATTTGATGTTGGCTGCAAAAGGGATACGCTACCTTTAATAAACCAGTCATACTAAAGACGTTCCAGATAGATATCAAAATCAACTTCACCCAGTTAAATGGGCACAAATCAATGAAGACGTTTTACGACTCATGAGAAATAAAGAGTCCTGCGGAGATGTTGCCACCTGTAATTGCTTGATGACTCACCAATTCATGAACACACTTATTGAAGGAATCATCTTCACTCAGGATGAGCAGGATGATGAGAGTCATGTAGATGTGATGTGAATTCCTCTCCTGGGCATTGTACAGTATCTTCAGTAGGGGTATCACCTGTTTACATAAAAACAATCAATAAATAAATAATACCAATCTATTGATGAGCACATAGAGAATTCAATTGTTTTTATTATAGGATTCATTTTGCATCAAATAATTGTTGCCTTGTTGAGCAAGCCTTTATAGCCCTTAACAAATGCATCGAAATGTTGCAGTGAAATAGAATATGTAATAATTTGGAATATTGATCTACTTATAAAATTGGTCTGTATAAGTTCAATTGGTGATATAGAATATGTGGTGGGGGGGGGGGGGGGTAAAAATATTACTCTTGTAGACATTGTTTTCGATTAAACTAGAGACAAAGGCAACATTTTAACAGACAGATTTAATGGTCTACATTCCCCTCCCCCACAGAAATATATAAAAATGATTTAAAGTTCCTATAATTTGATTAACAGTTCAAGGCTTATCAATAAAATACACTGGAATTATGATGGGAATGCTAGCTAGGGTCAACTGCCAACTCTTTGGCTCTACTATCTATGATAGTAAAACTGAAAAATGCACACATTTTAAAGAAGCACAACCCAAAAATATACATTACAGGAACGTACCAGTGTGTCGATGTATGTTCTTGAAAGGACATATGATCTACAACAGCACAAATATCTACATCAATACATCAATACAACATCTACAACAGTAAAAATGAAAAATGCACACATCTCAAAGAAGCACCCCCAAATATTAAAGGAATGTACCAGTGTGTCTATGTTTGTTCTTGAAAGGACGTAGTTCCTGAAGTTGATGTTCTGATGTAGGAGGAGGTAGAGGAGGAGTGTGCTTTGATCATCTTTGAGATGGTTGCAGAATGCTTCATACAGGTTGGCCGAATTTAGCTTGAATGGTGGCAGGGAACCAGATGGACCAATGGGCATTCCACCGTCTAGGGGGAAAAAGAAAAAGAATCAAAATATGATGATGATGGTGGTTATTTTACCTGACTGCTAAGAAAACATAAATGCTTGTAAGTGAGCAGCCAGACGGCCTACGGCTTTAGGTCCTCTCCGAGGGACCTGGTAATGAGGATTAATGCCTTACCAAAGGGCACTAGCGCATCGACTTGGTTCCGAACCCGGGTCACCGGAATACGAGACTACTGCTCTACCGACTGAGCTATCGCGCCTCTTAAATGAAAATTATATCACTCTGTTAACAATAACAAATCAGCCTAAATTATTGCATTTAATAGAATTCTGATTTCCTCTAGATCATAATACTCTCTCAGGTTTGAATCAGACCGGGTTGAGCTTCTGAGATATATTCACCAGCATCAAGGACAATGAATGATCCTACAATCATTTTCTTTCATTGGTCCATAGTTTAGAATACTAGACTCGCAAACACATACTGCAGCGAAATTCCCCAAAAGGCTGCAGTAAAATATACATTGTGTATTGAATCAAAATAGACATAACAAGCATTTAACTGTTTGGAAACTTACACTTATGGAGAAGACTGTGTTTACCTTGTGAATTTGCGAAATTGCAGAGTGCCTTCCTGTAGGGATTGTGTATCCCCTTCTCATGTGTGTAGTGATTGGTGAGGACCTGTAGGAGTAGGAGACTCTGGTTGGCTAAGAGTGCCCTGTCTTCTCTATCATCCGGCTTGGATCTTGTCCCGTAACCTAGTGTGAGCACTGCCCAGATACCAGCTGAGGAGAGAAGGAATAGCATCAGTTTCACTCTGTGTGATTTGATAACTTAATGCTCCCCAGGGAGTGGAGAATGTGCATACATTGTGTGGGGGTAAGCCTGAATCTGATGACAACGGTAACAATATGTACTACGCCTAGAAATAAATTATCAGGCGCATTATAAATGTGAGCTATTATTTTTTTATATTATACTAAAATAATATGCCGTTCTTGTATAACGTCTCTATGCACTTCTACAGGACTTAAGATATTATTACCCCGGCTTTGTCTCCAGCAACCGTAGCGCTCGGTGCATTCAAGGAATGATTCCTACCAGGTACCCACTTACTACACCTGGGTTGAGTGTGGCAAATGCACCGGGGTTGATTAATTAAGATAGGAAAGCCAACCGTCTTTGTGAGTTTGTTAATCATTACACATCACACATACAACAAAATGTTACTGATGTACACTTTCCATATTTATGAACGACTCTACCCTTAAAATGTAATTTTTCCTCTTTTTAATCTTTTAATTTAAAATTCAAATGGTCCATAAAAAAAAGCTAAATGCAAATTCTAATACAGCAGGTATGCTTATATTGGACATTAACTCTATGTGAAGAGACGATGTAATGGCCTTTTGGCTTTGAAAGGCAATGTAGCCCTTGTGTGCATATTCCCATTCTATACAAGAACTTTGCTTAATAGCTTTAAATTATTTAAAATACTCTAAGTACAGTGTCATAGAGAAATCCAAAAAATGAAACAGTTAAAGAGAGAACTACACTAGGTAAGAATGCCAGGTGATATTTTCAAAACACTTCATGGCTAGGCATGGCATGGCATGAGTCTGAGTGGATACGTCGCCGGACTGTCGATCACAAGGTCCGCGGTTCGAGTCCCGCCGCCGCACTAATGTCCTTTGGCAAGATATTGATCTACATTTGCCACACTCCACCCAGGTGAAGTAAATGGGTACCCGGTAGGAATTTATTCCTTGAAATGCTAGAGCGCTATAATGGCAGCACAGCTAAAGCCGGGGTAATAATAATATCCAATATGTCATGCGCAGTTGAGTATATACATATAGAAACTGCGCATTATAAATTTACAATTATTATTATTATTATTATAACCTGGGGTTACAGAGAATATTAGTTGAGCCTACCTGCTATTGCTGCAGAGATACCGTAGAGAAAGCTGGCTGGTTTGGGCGAGTCTCTTAGAAGCTCTGCTGGACAGTCTTCTCTCTTGATGAACTGGTCCAGGAGAATCTTAACCAGAACATGGGCATCACTGGAGCTGCAGAAAGATAGACAATAGTAAAACAATTAGCAATTTGGCATACCGTAATCAGAAAGTAGTGATTGTGAGGTCATTCGGTCATTACATCTCAACTCAATACAAAAACAAAGTATCCCCACCTTATCAAAGAAAAGTGTTCAATGTAATAACTATACTAAAGTCATTGTCTTTCAACAAAGGTTACTACAAAGTGTGCATGAGCACTTTATATTTTGAATATTTGCTTATGAAATCTACTAAGAACATCTATCTTGAAAAGTGCTTTTCACATATCATTGTGAGGCAGGCAGAAGGGCATCAGCTATCAAGAATGCCATAAAACAAATTTCTGGTCACTCGCAGCTAAGGTTTTGATTGTTTATTTAAGACATGTTCTAATTTATTTTAAAACATGACAGGGATTCTGCTCTTTACCAACTTCTTAAAAAGTAAAAATGGATAGCTTCGTATCAAATGAGCACATATTTCTGTAGTTGTAGGTAGTTTAACGTGAGCGACCTTCTGCTTAATGCAACAGTGCATGTCCATGTATTGCACAACGCAATTACCCCTTCTGCCAGCCGCACGATATTGATTTATTGCGACCTTGAGATATGGATTATACATTCCGTTTGGAGCCAGAAGGGCGTTAATTCATTATACATTAACACAGATGTAGCGCCCTTCTGGTTCCAAACAGACAATAACAAACGCACCATCCACGCTTCGCACAACGCGTTTACCCAGCCACACCAGCTGCTTACGCAATTACCCTGGCTTCTACCAGCCACACATTGATATTAATCTGGTGTGACCTTGAAATATGGATTATATCTTCTGTTCGGAGCCAGAAGGACGTCAATTCACTCTACATCAACATAGAGTTAACGCCTTCCTGGCACCAAATGAACGATAATATACTCACCATTTTCCATGCATGATGTACTCTGTTATGAGGCTCTTGTGTGATATCCTTGGAATGTACATCTGGACCGATAGCAGAACCAGGAGGGTGTTTATCGTCTCCAGGTGTATCACATAAGTGAAATTCCTGCAATTTAATTAAAAGGATCACTAATTCCTATTCCAATCTGATAAATGATGATAACAACATAATCTTATACATGGAGATACAACTTTTAATGACTGTTACACATGATAGAGCAAGAAATATGTCAGTAGCACCCCACATTAAAACCAATGAGCATCTAATTAATGTTACAGCAAGACAAATACATTTGTATGACTAGAAACATTACATAGTAACAAAGAAAACAAACTTCCTGTATCAACAGTCCTCTCATCCGTGGATTTTAGTTTCAATGAACCATAAATCCTTCCTTTCTCAAGTACTACCAATCCCTTTTTCAACAAACAGGCTCATTGGATCTGAGACTGCTACATTGTGCACTACAGACGAACATCAAGTCTTACATTCCCTCCCACTGTCCCACACATTATTCAAAACCAGTTTTACTTTCAATACACTTTACATCTACACAATAATCTATAAACCATACACTACAATCAAAAGACATGTTTTGAAGCTCATGAAAATAAAACTGAAATAGAATGTCTATCAGTAACCATATAAGTTAAAGGCATCATTTAACAATGTTAAATCTGAGATGCATGGCCCTACGTGTAATCAGTGTCTGTGATATGGTGTAATATTGAAGCCCAAAAAGAATGGCGCTTCAAAATGAACATGAAGTGCCTCAAAAAAGTGAAAATCTTTCAGTGACCGGTTATACCATACTCATTTTCCCCAATAGACTGAAGTGTTACAAAAACCATTAGGAAAACGGTTTTTGAAATTTTGATTTCCAATCATACTCTAAATATCTTGATAATCAGACAGGCGATTGGGTTGTAAAATTCATAGAGTTCCTGACTGACCTATAGGTTTATAATTACCAACCATTGCAGCATGAGCTAAATCCAGAATTTTGTTTCAGAATCTTAGACAAAAATAGCCAATCCCTTTAAATAGGATGAGTTCACTTACAGCACAGGGACTTCAATGAGGAGTTGTATGAGAGTCTGGATGAACCTCTCCAGGAGCGACTCGTCTCCATCTGCGTCCCCGTTCTCCATCACGTCTTCCACATTGAGCACGGTGGAGGAGGGTTTGGTTCTCACCAGGACCGACAGCTGCTGGAGGATACGCCCCTCCGACAGCATCTCCAGGAAGTACTTCATGCTCCGTCGGATGATGAACAGGGCGTTGTAGGTCTGCCAGGTGAAGACATGGCTGAAAGACAAATGCAATATTTCAGAGCTCAAATGTTGCTTCTTTAATCGGGTATTTAATATATAGTATTGAAAATGACTAGCAAACAGATCCTAAAGACACTCATATCAGGTCCCATATCCAATGTTGATCTTGACATATATTGATAAAATCAAAAACACAATTCATTCCAAACGATTCCAAGACAGGGAAAAAATACACGGGAGCTCAGGGAAAATTACTCCCCGAAAGTCATGAAAGAGCCCCCCAATATTGCAAAGAGTTCAACGCAAAACAAATTTTTAGAGTGTTATTTTCATGCAAGCAAGCTTGAAAATTAGACCCCGAAATTGTTTAAATATTTGTTTCCCTGTTCCAAGAGCAAGATACATGTACATGCACAGACATTTCAATCCAGACTGTCTTAGGGTACCGTATTCATAATGCAAGGTAAGTGTCAAATTCAGAAGTGTGTCCAGTCATTAAAGGTAAAGACCAGTATTGGAAACGCCCCAATTTCAAAAAATGAAATGGAAGCTCTCATTACCAATCATGTGAAAGAATATGTTTTGACTAATACATGATGGTAAAAAGTTTGCCGGGAAACTGCCTACTAATTCATATATTTGGTAAATTGGTTTCTCTCATGGTCTGTGAGAGATATAGGGTAGTCCCATAAACATCTTTCTGTGTATAGTGCTTGTAACTTTACGAAGAATGGGCCAAATTTCTTATCATTTTGATGATTCCAGAACCTTGCAGATGCTAGATGCTAGATGATCAACCTTTTCTGATCGATTCCACAATGTTTCTTTCACAATGCAATCTTATGACCATAACTGGTCTTTACCTTTAACATATTTTACACATGAGGACAAGCTCAGAAAAGAGGCAACAGAAATTTGAATCCAAAAAATAAAATGAGAAAATAGAGTGCACCAAGACCAAGGAAAAGAGCACTAAAAAGGGTACAGCATGTAAATATTTGATGATAGTACAAACAAACCATAGAAATATTTTACATTTTTCTGCATAAACAAAATAATAGGACTACAAAAGTGTTTAAAGTTTAATGGTTCAGTATTAAAGTGATATAAACTTTGGTAGTGTATTTTTTAAAAAAATCCATTGTTCTATCCAAAACTATTTTAAACTTGGGCCCATTTGATTTTGTATCTATAGTGACAGTGTTAATGCTTTTACATTGATATGTAATGAAAAGGTACTAGTTACTTGATATGACATTGCTAATGAAATATGATTCTTCTCAACATTAAATTTTTGTTTGCTAAACATACAATTTATATCTAAAGGTGTCTGTTTAATCAAATAAATCCAAAAAATTAATTCATTTGTTATGGTTCTAGGATTTACAAGAGATCCCATAGATAATCTGAAAAACCTTGTTAAGAGAAAACAACTTAATGTCTCAGAGGAATAATTTGCAAGATTAAAAAAATTCTGAAGAAAATTATATTAACAGAGTACAAACAAACTTGTATTATTGTAAATATTTTGTGAATTTGTTCAATCATGTAATCTGTGTAATATGAATATTGTATCATTTTTAAGCAATAAATTCCTTATAAGGGGATTTAATAAAAAATATAAAATCCAAATCATGTTAATTCACGTGTCTCAACACAAAAGTTGCAATATTCATGTTTTTATAGACTTGCACATGACCTTAGTGGATATATTTGAATCTGTTATATGTGCATGCCCCTATAAGATTGATAACACTGCATTCAAGAACACAATATGCTGTTTGATATGCACTGCATAGGCAAATTTTTACCCTTCCTTCTCCAATACAGCCCTCCTAAAGCTGATAGGAATAACGACAAGAAACAAAGTATGAGTAAATTTGGAGGAAAAGAATGGAGGTATGTAAATACAACAGAATAAATCTAAAAATTTTGGAAGAAAATACACTGTATCAAAAACCTTGTTACTACTTTTCATTATTTTAATGTGACTAATCACATTTGTTCTTTATTATATAAGAAAAGACAGAGACTAGTCAGAGAGGTTGTAAACATGTATGGAACTTACTTGAGTAAATAAAGAAGACTAAATTCAAGGTGAATTGTTTTGGTGAAAAATCGTCCTATAATTTGAAAATACTGAACAATTTTTACACTAGTCACTTTTAAATAAAATTATTGTATTTTGACGGTACTCACTCTTCATTTTGTGCAGAGACTTTGAGCTGCATGGCTCTTTTGTTGAACACACGAACTAGGGCACACAGGTTACCAGAATGGAGATTACTGTGCGCTGTAAAGAAACAAAAATGAGACCAGGGTTCTTGTTAGTGCATACCAGCAACACCTCTCGAGCTAATACCAATTGTGGGGGATTTCTGGAGAAAAAAAACACCAGGATACCAACAACTTCCACAAACACAAGGGTAATAAAAATGTCACTGCTTACTTTGGAAAATCATCACATACTGCGTGACCATATTTCAATCAATGTGAATTCACAACTAGGTCTGAAAGCTTTAAGCACTAAAAACAGAATGGATGAGATACATCTAGGATTAACTATTTATAGTAATAAGAAACTGCCCTACCTGAATTCAAAATTGATCTGTTCCACTTTTACAAAAACAAGTTTATATTCTCTTGATAGTCCATTTGTAGGAAAAGCCTGCTGCAAGAAATCTCACTTTCAAAAGAGAGCCATTATACACTGAAAATAAGTTTCATAATACACTGTCTGCTCTCTCTCTCTCTCTCCCTAACCGCAACAATCAAGATCTTACCTAGTGTCTTGCAGAGATTCTGTGAAGATTCCTCTATCAGCCTAGCATCGGCACTACTATGCGGGATGTTGAATGAAAAGGACAGGAGCTGCTCCCAAAAAGGATCTGTATCGTCGATGGATTCCTTCCCGACGAACCTCCGAAGAAACTCATTCTCTCCAAGCTCACTCAGGCTACTCCCAGTGCCACCCATTGTGAACCAAAGATGGCCCAAGAATCAGATGGTCTTCCCTTCTTTAAAGTCTTCTTTCTTGATGCTAGCAAATCTCTCTGGTTCTGGTTCTGGTTCCGATTCAGGTGTTCACATCAAAACAAGTTCTTGCTGATGAGTTTGTCACTGAAGGCCATGATGGTCGGGAAATTCAGAAGTGGATCAAGTCATTTGTAGAGTTCCAACCAACTGTAAAGATATAGCAACATTTGAAATATAAGAAACTATAATTCTTTTTTTCCCTTCCAACTAGTACTAGACAGGGAAACAGTTGCAGCCCAAAGTACTACAGAGAGTGAATATTCAAACAAGATAATGATTCCCTTGCATGGAGCATTTACAATGAAATAGACCATATTAGGATTTAGGATGATTATGACATGTACCCTAAAAGACAACTATCCCTAGACATATTCCTTCAGACAACAAAGTGAACAAACTCATCTAGTCCCTCATTTTTCCTCAACCCAAACTACATCTAGGTCTATGATTTATCCTATCCATATCATTGTTCCAAGAGTGTTCCAGTTTTGAATTGGAAAAATGATTGTACATGTAGACCGTATACTAATTAATTATTTTTTAAATGAACTTGGCTTTAAGTCTATCAAGACTTTTGCAACTATTTTTTTTTACGGACCATCACAACAGTGGCGGGCATTGCTAATGATGATAACTTTTTATTTATTTCTTTTCTGTTTAGAGCAAGTTTATGGTGACCCAGTGCCAGCTTCACAAGATCCAACTAGTCTTTAGCACCAAGCATGTTGCAATTTGGTGCTATATCTGTATTTTTGACAATGTCGACACTCAATTATTCAATGTTTGTATGTTGTGATTAATGCAGTGTTACAAAAATCATGAGTTTAGATAGTTTTAATCCCTCACACAGTTACTTTAATCAAAGTACTGTTAACATTATTCTGCAATTCTGTCTAACTTATTAGGGAAAAAAATTTCGCCCGATTTTAGTGAATAATCGGCTTGTTTATTAATCCCCCTCCCCCCTTGTGCATGCCGCAATTGTTACTGTCTGTTTATGTCATAAATGGGGAAGGTTGATGAATGTCAGTTTTAAGTTTGATTGTAGAAATCCTAGAACTCCCCATGGCCATACCATTACCATTTACCAGACGATTATCTCTGTCTATGAGTACGACTACATACATGAGCCTGACTGCCGGCTGCGAAGCTCGTTAGACCGTTACTTTTTAGTGTTCTTCTTCTTCATAATCTTATGGATAATACTGAAGATTCTTGCAGATGTTATACTGGGGGGTGCAGGTGGACCACTACACCGGGGTTTCCCCCTACTCTTAATCTTATACGAAGAGTGCAGTGGGTTCTTATCATGCAAAGGTGGTGACTCTTCTCTACACAGGGCCTCCATTTAACATCCTATCCGAGAGACGGAGTGTTTTCCACTTGACATAGCCTGCGTCTATGAGACAAGGGGAGGGGCATGTTAAACACTAGACCGAAAGCTTCAGTCTCTATACCGTCGGTTGTTCCACTGAGACTACGTCTGGCTCCACTAGACCTCCGGTTATAGAGACAGAACGATCGCCTATGCCAGCCTATGTTGAAGATATCACGGCTAGATTCTAGCCGTTAGGCCCCTCCCACAAACATGAACAAACTTGCCACGGCCGTATTGTTATGCCCCCAAAATCCCCCAAAATGTCATTTTACCTCGTGCATATCCAATTTTACATTAGGCCTAGGCTATAATACATCGGTTCCACTTACTAACTTGATTGAAATAATCCGTTTAATGGTCCCTTTTAAGGAAATTATGGGTCAAAATCGACATCCATGTTGAAAATCTTGCAAGCCGTGTTAAACTCTTGCTGCCGTCAATCTCATCCTTTCTAGTCTACGCCGAAGGCAAAATGATTATGAAGGAAAAACTGTGCGCCATCTACACGTTCGTAATGGCGTTATCACAGTTTTTCCTTCATGATCATTTTTGCCTTCGGCGTAGACTAGAAGGGATGAGATTGACGGCAGCGAGAGTTTAACACGGCTTGCAAGATTTTCAACATGGATGTCGATTTTGACCCATAATTTCCTTAAAAGGGACCATTAAACGGATTATTTCAATCAAGTTAGTAAGTGGAACCGATGTATTATAGCCTAGGCCTAATGTAAAATTGGATATGCACGAGGTAAAATGACATTTTGGGGGATTTTGGGGGCATAACAATACGGCCGTGGCAAGTTTGTTCATGTTTGTGGGAGGGGCCTAACGGCTAAAATCTAGCCGTGATATCTTCAACATAGGCTGGCATAGGCGATCGTTCAGTCTCTATAACCGGAGGTCTAGTGGAGCCAGACGTAGTCTCAGTGGAACAACCGACGGTATAGAGACTGAAGCTTTCGGTCTAGTTAAACACACAACACAGGCTTCAGTCATCCCCCTGCCCCTGGGTGCGATTCAAACCCCGAGATTATTGGCTTGACAGGCAGACGCTTTAGCCTTTACACAGAGCTATCATTATCAAGTGTCACGCATTTTGAGGGTCAGGAAACGTTCTCACACACGCGATTTCAAAAAAACGCTATGCGCTATATGTACGTTATACCCTCGCCCATTCACTCGCGCGCCGAGTCATGATAATGTCAAGCCTAGCTGATCTTTGAACTTGGCATCTCTTTTTACATGATAGTTGATACATCGTTTATACACAAATCTTTTAGCCTTTGCCTTTGGCTTTACCGACTGAACCAACTCGCCTGATCCATCAGCTGATCAGCAGGATCAATGTCCATTGACATTGACTTTTGAAAGTGATAGAATCTAGTGACGAATGACCGATTAGTAACAAACATATATTTTTCAAAGTAAAAAAAGACCCTGGACTAGATCTGACTATTAAATACAATTCTTGTTACGAAAATTTAACACTCACAGCTCAGGTCACATCTCAAAACCCTCACAATCAATGACAACACTGCATGCTGCACAAATGACAAACAAGAAACAGTTCCGACAACAACCGTCATGACACAAATTGATTTCTCATCTTTATGTGCAGGTGAAAATCACGTAACATAGTAAATGTTATACTCTCAAATATATACATTACCTAGATGAAAGCCCATATTAATATGGAGATCAAATGAAAAATTTTACTAGCGCCGATATGGTTGTAATAATGTGAACGATGAAAATCCATTGACGTGTCGGCATCCGTTTCAATAAAATTTTAACTTCACTGAATATATCGATTAAGAAGTTCGCAAATTAGTTACTTGGTGCATGTACTGCAGTGTCAATTTAACAACTAATACTGATTGCACATAGAACATTTCAAAATCGTCCCATTGAATATAGAGACACAATTAAATACTATCAAACTATTTAAAAATTATCTTAAATTTATTAATTACATTTTTGTATAGTATATTTTAATGTAAAAAAGAAAAAAAACTAAATATAATTCCTAATATTTTACCTTTTATCAAATCGGCACCTCCCATTGTTTATGAGTGGATAGAAATAGTTGGTTATTATATTAATGGCTCAGCAAGATAAATTCTAGACTTGTAGTTACAGTCGCTTGCTTACAATCAGTGGGCTGATTATATCTGAAGGGGATCGCAGACTTGGTTGTGGGTGGGGGGAGGGGGGGGGTAACATTTATATAGGCCTACATGATGTACAAGCAGAAAGGAGATACAGTATAGGTAGAGCTAGCAGAAAATAACTATGTTCGGGTCCTATTTGATCAACCCATTGGTTGCCCCCGCTCCCCTCCTAGTCGCGGATCTAGCTTTTTGCTATGGGGGAAGGGGGTTTGACCCAATGACGTTGCAGAGCATCGTCCACGAGTCCCCAAGTCCGAGCCGCATAGCGGCTAGGCGATTTTTTGTGTGTGTGTGTGGCTATTTTGAACCCCCGTAAGTGATGTTTTTCCTGGCATCTATACGTCAGTTTCTATGCCCATCACATTTTCACTTGGCAGAAATCTTTTCATACATGATATCCCATCGAGTAAATTATTCATTATAATTATAGAAAATTCCTGCCATGAAATCTGGTTACTTTTTTTGTGTGGACACACAATATTATAATGATTTATGTATAACAGAGATAGAATTCGAGTTAGAATGAGACAGAGAGCAAGCGAGAGAGAGAGGGAGAGAGAGAGAGAGAGAGAGAGAGAGAGAGAGAGAAAGAGCTAGAGAGAAGAAAAAACTAATACGACATGTGTATTTGCAAAAAATTGAAATCAACGATGGTGTATTATTGCCTGTGACTGACGCCCTCTACATCGGTATATCTTTCAGATCAGACTGTTGTGAACGAAAAGCTTTTGTTATTGTCTGGGAAGATATACATAAATGGCATGAGCGATGTTGAGTCATTCATATTATCTCAGAATTCTCCTGGTAATCGCACAGCTCGGGGAGATATCATTCTCATCTTATCTCATTATACATGCTTATGCACTGTGAAGAACAGTTGCTGGTATATATTCATTCAGTTTTATTTATCATCGTCTGTTAATTCTGCAGATGAATTAGCTTCAGAGCAGCGACGTCGTTCGTTCATTCATATTTCTCTTGCGCGCGTTCTATTTTTGCGAAGTGGTGAATGGACTTTATATGATCGCGAAGCCTCAACTTCCAGCAGTGGCTTTTGTGGTGTATTGGCGTGCGACTTTAGGCAATTATGTACGTTGAATTCTCTTTGTTGAGTCTATGCAGGCAGGAATAGTACAATAACACGAATCTATTCACTGCATAGAGTGCACATCTAAATTTTATAACTGTACAATTGGTGATAAAAAGAAAGCGGGTTTTATCCCATCGAAATGACAGTTGAGCTGGTGACACCGAACTTGTTCACACTAACCTACATTTAAGAAGAGCTGTCCTCGAAAGGCCTATTTTATTTTCAAGCCTTTCCCGTTTCTAGCAAGTGGAAACCCCAAGCCTTGGGCTTTAGACTGAACTTGTGATGATAAAGGCCAGACTTTCTGTGGATTTCCGTCCGAAGGGACTGGACAGGACGATGATGGCGAAATCAGTGATTTTCTTGGTCATTTTTACTGGAATACTGACTCCGTTTGCGGATGGACAACTTCTTCAACCAAACAAGGAGGTCATTTGCAACTTGTAAGTTCGATTTGTTTTTACGTCAGTTGTTTTGATCAAATATGTGAACTGTGATTACGTTGTGTTAAGATGTGTTTGTTTTTGCTGTTCCAACATTTGTACAACCCAAGTGGTCGAGAAATAAATAAAATTGCCATGCATGCACACTTGCAAAAACTGTAATTACGCCATATACATGATTGATGTATACATGATATGACTTTTATGAGACAGTTATTTTATGAACTTAGTGGGTTGTATTTATAATTCATTTACAATTATTATGAAGTATTGGGCTTGATGTTTCATGACAAAGTATATTTGAAATAATTCCTTTGAATTCTGAAGTCTATTTCTCTTCAAGCATTAATTTAATTGGTTTCAAATTTCAGCGAAATATGTTGTTTCCAACACAATATCAACAGTTCATTTTCAAGTTTTTATTCAGCCTAAGTGTGTTTTTGATGGTCTGGCACTAGTCTGGCAGAAAACATAATGCTTTTAGTCCTTTAAAAAAATGTGATGGCCTGATGAGTATACATATAGGCCTAAATAAGGAATTATGCAACTGTATATGATGGTATATTACGGTAAACATCTCAACAAAATAAAATAAACATCCTGAGACACTAAGTAAAAGTAATGAAAATCATTTCATTGCCTAGTACTAACATCAGTGCTGCTGGGGAAGAATTGTAAATAACACAAGTATGACAATAGAGACCATTTTCAAAATACTCGTTTATTTTAAGGGGTGGGCCTTATACACTTGTCAAAGGCAGGATTTATTATACAATGAACCTTTCTATTACCAATTAGTAATAACTATTCGAAGATCATTTTGTGATTATCACACGTACACAAACCATACATTATAAGTGTATAAAACGATTACGACGACCCAGTAAGTAAAAAATGATCTGGGGGAGAAAAAAATATTCGCGTGGAAAACATACAAGCAAACCCCTACGCCATGTCTGATAATTTTTTTTTCTTCAATCAGTATCTAAGTCATAATAAATCAATTTAAAGAATCACTTTTTTAGGTTGACGATCTTTATCTGAGCAATCATATCATGTGTCCATAGGTATTCAATTGAGAGATTAACAGAAAAGAATTGATTATTACTATTAAGAAATCAATCTTACGCACTTGACATCTTTATCTGCTATTCAAACATGATCTATCACCCGTCTACATAATAATTATCTCCCTTTGAATAAATAGAGTTTTAAGACTCAGTAATTTATCACGAAGACGGTCAATAAAGAGTTAGGAATCTGCGTCAGCTGATGAAACAGAAAGTACATCGATGGAAGATATGTTAATGTCATTTTGGCCTTGTTTGAATATGATGTATTTGCCATCTGTTAGAGAGCAAATGATACCATCATCGTTATCATCTAGTTTATGGAGACTTAACGTGTCAGAAACATGATTTATGAATATAAATCTTTCTCTTTTTCTGACATGGGGAAGGGTGGAGGCGGTTACCACAGGGGTGTGACATGGGACCTATATATTCAGACATTTAGATATCGTGCGAACTTGATTGACCTGTTATCAGTCGTGAGATAAAATTAAAAATTGAACAGGATCCTCATGAGAGGGTCTTCCGTATAGGCCTACTGACTACATCATAATCGTTTATCCATTTCACATTTTCTGGCGAAACTGCAAAAACTGTCAGAAGTGTCAGCTGTGATAATATTTAACCTCGATAATTAGTGTTCATGACTGCACTCGAAACTGATTAAAAATGTCTGTAATAATGATATGACTCCTAAAAAGTTCATGCGACATCATTTTCTTGAAACGAGTCAGCATTGCCATTTTCCGCCATTGACGATTTACTTTTCTTATGGAGATGACGGCGCAACCTTAATTTCGAAACTGATCAATCTAACATTTTAGATTTGATTAATTTGGCGAGTATTTCGGAGAAATTTGGGTCACCACAATATTATTAATCTTGCGAAATCATTTTATAAACACTTTGATACTAGTACATCAAGCATCAAATTATTTTATGAATATGTTCTCAAGCATATTTAAACGATTAAAGTATTATAGGGTTGGGCCGGTACATCAATATTCATTTTGTACTCTATATAGATTCATAAACACGTCATCCCTTTTCACATTATTTAAAGCTTACATATTCATGATATTGAAAAATGATGATGCAGAAACGAATTTCACTGCGCCATCAGTCTTTGAATATCTTACCTCACGTGAAGGTTTTGTCTACATGTATGTCGTGTACAACATGTAGATCTACATAGCGGTGACATTGTACAAATATTGTCTGTATTGCTAGCTTCTTTACGATCAATGCATGACCTTCCATGCTCTCAGCTAGCCATTATTGCAATGCAGGAAATTAAATAGGTATTACGTAATCAGTCACGCACTCCAAAAAGACATAGCTTTGCGCATATAGTAATATAATCGCCAATGCGTGGCTGTCGGTCTAGTTTATTAACTTTATTGGTTTTCATAAAATCGGTCACGTGATGAATACAAGGAAATCCAAATTGGACTTAATGGCTTCAGTATAAAAGTTTGTAGTAATGACGTAGAGACTAGGTTTCCCAATGAATGAATGATACAGTCAATTTCCTATACAGATCAGAATAATAACTTGTTCGTCGGTATACTTTATTGCATGTACGAATGAATATCTTCATCTTATACGTTGATAGTACTGTTGATCACGACTTTCATACTGGCCTTTTTGAGAATTCAGACTTGAAATTATTTTCTCACTGATTCGATTGAACCAAACTATATCAATGCAAAGACATATAAAATACGTACACGTTGTTTGTGGGCATGCCTCGTTTGATCATCTGCAACGGTGCGAATAATCATTTTCTTGGAAAGGTATTGCAATCCTTCAAACGAGAGAAATACTTTGCAAATCAGTCGAAACGTCTATCGTAACCTTTCAGAAGGCAAAATATAAAGTTCCATCATTTTTAAATGGGAAGGAAATTTATGGAAAGTATAAGGATATAAAAGTCTATTTCATTTCCTGTAACTAAATAATTTTGCATTGCAAGACTAAAAGAAAAACAATGTAAAAAAATATTTCAATGCAAATTTTCGGTTATATCATTATGTTTGTTATTGTGATTATCTTGTCATTGTTTATATTATGTGGAAAATGAAACAAATTCGCTAGATGCATATCAACATGAAGAAAGGGAGAACATGGACTGCTTTTTACTCAAATGAATGTCAATCATACACTGAAACCCATTCAGAATCAATAGTTTGTATTTATATATAAAATACACAATGTATATTCATACACGTGTGGTTAGTTGTTTTGTACAAACATCGCAATTCCCCATTTATATACTCTATTCAATTTTGACACTCGGAGGCACTCGGTGGCACAATCATGTTGTTTGCTGCTAAACTCGTATTTTATTCTGCAAAACCACACTTTCTGAAGTTATTGTTTTGGAGCTGTCTACCGCAAAAGAGGGCAGGTTTTCCTGACGACCAGTTCCCATCGGTTAGCCACACATTGACAAGATGAGCCAAATATTTTCCCGCGCAAAGTCAAAGAAACAAAATTAGATTCAAAGCTAAAAGTAACATGCCTTGCATAATGAAAATAAAAGTAAACCTCACTTCCAAATACAAAACAAAGTATAGTCTAAAATGATTGATAAGTATGGCAAAATTGCCAATTTCTCCCTCAATATGTTCGTTTTGTAAGATTCTAAACATCATGAAAATAATTCTAAAATTGACTCTCTGTTCCACTTAATCATTAAAGTTGCCGATATTAATTATATATATATATATTTCTTTCTTTTGTTTCTATGTGTTAGTTTTTTGTCGACGAAGGCGTTCGAAATAATTAAACCTTTTAAAAATGATAGATATCATCGAATTATCTGGATCATCTTTCATTTTTCGTATGTTCACCGTCGCAAATCTTGTTATTGCTCAATTCTATTTCTAGTGATTCTGACTAGTGTAGATGCATGCAACTGCATGACCGTGATTGCCATTTAAATTGCACAAAATCAATCAGCGACTCAATTTATTGTAAATAAACTGCATCTCATGAGTGTATTTTTTATTCGGATAAAAGATATTCTGAATAGGCAAACAACCTAAATATGTTATTAAAATCAATGGAAATTCGAAACGAAATGTACATGTACATTTCAAATCGGTGAATTCTATTTGAGGGTGAATGTGAATTGATCATAATCTTTAGAAAGGAATAGCTGGGTTGCACTACGGAATACGGATCTGATTATGCTCCCATGTCCTAACATAATAAAACAAGGATTTCATTCTTTTATACTATATGTATATAGCGACTGTTTCTTATGCTTGAAAATATAGAAATACATTTATAAATTCTTACTTGTAGTGAATAGGTCGGATAGCTGAATTTATTGCGGGTATATAGGTAAACGTCCCATGCAGTGTACCAGCGCACCTTGTCGAGTTCGTTTCGATTTCCCCAACGCTGTATCATCGTAAAATCAACAAGATGTTTTGTCAACTGCAGGTGCATGCTACATGAAGGACGAATTATTGTTTACAAAAATGATGGTACGTGCACTTTTTTATGAATGTCTTATCATTCACTTTCAATGTAGCCTACTGGCAGCAGGGGCTGTTGCTGGGAGGGCAGTTGAAGGCAAGGAAGAGAGTTGAGGGTCGAGTAGTTATGATTACATAACGTAAGAGGAGAATAAGGTTGCTTGGGCCATTTGTATGCCTTTGACCATGAACCTAAAAAGAAAGGTCTGGGTGTAAGTCGGTGGGTGCCTAGTAATGAGCTGTTAATATTTGTTTTCTTCATTGGGTTGTCATTGATGCTTCTGTATTACATTAACACAGGTAACACGTTAGTAATAATCAAATCCAAAAGATTTTAGTTGAAGTTAATTTTGGAAAGAGTGCGAAAGCAATCTGAAGTAAAGAATAAATAAGCATTTGATAAAGCAAATTTAATTGAGTAAAAAAATCAATACCTGTATAA